AGCAGCTTTCTTCTTACCTGGGACTTTTGCCATCTACTTTAACACAGTTCTCACACTTCCTGTTGTCCTGCACTTACTGTAGGTTTCCTCATATCCTTGCTTCTCTAGCCCTGTAGGCATTCATGACACCTGGTGAAGACTGTTGTCTTGCTTTCCCAGCTGGTCACAGTCTTCTCTGGTTTTTGCCCTATACTTGAATGGTCTTCTCAAATGAAATCTGTTACTTGTTTGCTATTAGTGTTTTTTATTTATGTTTCCTTATAGGCACCTTTTTTCTCAGTCCATAAACATTAAAGTCTCTATGCTGAAGTTGGAAAGAAAAGAATAAGATTTTTTGATAAATCTACTATACGCCAAAGTTAAACACAAGGATGATTTAGTCATATCTTTACAGCACTGGATGTTTCTGACTCTTAAGAGATGAGAGAAATCCAAGGTCCAGAAGGACTGGCTAATGATCCACCATCCAGACCAGATCTGTCTTGATCCCGAGGTCCATGTTTTTTCTTCTCCCTCATATCAGCTTCACTTCAAGTTGTTGTTATCCTCCATGCAAATAAACCAGTGTCTTTAGTTCTCTCTTCCCCATGATCTGCTTCTAATCTCCTGTTCTTCCTTTGCCACCAAACTTCATTTGTTCACACAGAGCTCTTTTAATCCCTTTTCTCATCTCAACACAGTATAATTTGCCCTTCCTGTGTTTCACTTGTTAATCCACGTCATCTGAGCACCGACTGTGCAACAGGCAGCGTGCCAGGCACCAGAGAAATAAACCTTGCCTGAGAGAAGCTTCACAGCTCAGTAGTTCCAGTGCAGTGTGGGAAGTGCCTCATAATTAAATCCAGTGATCCTTTTTTAACTCTTTTCTTACTTGAGCTCTCTTGCATCCTTTTCCCAAAGGACAAGCACTTCTTTTATGGCAATTTTCCCTTTCCTTTATTCTGTAGCATGCCTCATTCTTGGTTTTCTTCTTTACTTCCGTAGAATTTCCTTTGTGTCTCTGTTTTTTTTCTTCCCATGCTCTCATTTTAAAATTCTTTTCAGCTGCTTACTAGATAGCTCCACTTAGATATCATACAGATTCAGTGATGCCCACTGCTTTCCTCAAGAAAGTGGCATTTAACTAGTTGTCCACATCAAATACCTCAGAAGCATCATCAATCCCTCGTCTTCCTCTCACAATGAGATTCAGCAATTCTGCTTCAAAAATAGCACCTTAGCCTGACCAAGTTGCCAGCCCCTCTGCCATCAGTTAACAGATGGCAGAAGCTTCCGTCTCCCTCCCTGCCTGCTGTGCATCCCCCAGGCGTTAACTGTAATAATCATTTAAAAAAAAATTATGGTATTATTACTTTACTCCTTACAGTCTTATAGTGTCTTTTTCTCTACTGTCTGTCAGGTCAGGTCTCAGTCGCATAGCCTGGCTCCCAGAGCCATTCACCGTCTGCCCCCAGTCGACCTTTCTGGGCTTCTCTTCTTTTAGTTACAGTGCTTAGGACAGAGAGGGCACTCAGTGAATACTGAAAGGGTAAGTAGGTAGTGCAGAAAATCTGATCTTTTCTCTCTCAAGGGCAGTATTACATTTTCATTATGTAAGCATTGTACCTGCTGTTTACTTCTCAGTAGCTGGTCTCATTTCTAAAAATTATAATGATGTAAAGATTAATAACCTATAGCTGTTTGAAAATTCTGATTTTCATTAACTCAGTGTATTAGCTGAATTGTATTTCTCCAGAATTTTTGTGTTGAACCCCTACTCCCCATTACCTCAGAATGGGACTGTATTTGGAGATAGGTAATTAATGAGTTCATTAAGTGGGCCTTAATATGACTGATGTCCTTATAAGAGGAAATTTAGACACAGACCCTAGCAGAGGGAAGACCATGTGATGACACAGGGGAAGATTGCCATGTATAAGCCAAGGAGAAAGGCCTCAGAAGGAACCAACCCTGCTGATGCCTTGATCTTGGACTTCTTGTTTCTAGAACTGCAGGAAAATAAATTACTGTTGCTTAAGCCGCCAAGTCTGTGGTGTTTTGTTATGGTAGCCCTAGTAAAGTAATATACCTAGTGTCTTTTAATTTACTGAGGTTTTAAAAAAGTCTTGTATCTAGGGACTTTATCCCATCTTAAATTTCTTTGAGGTATTAGAAATTTGTCCTAGGAAAAGAGGACCATCTTTATCTTTTTCATACTAGATAACATGCATGATCAGCTACTTGAAGAATTTTTCTGCCTTCCCTTTTATCCATTTCTTTTAAAAATATAAACAAAGTAAGAAACCATTGAAAATCATGCTCATTTACTTTATTGATTTAAAGAGATAGTTCAATATTTTTTACGCTCTCATTTTGATAGCTAGAATACAGTAAGTTCTCTTTGCAGTGAATAACCATGCCAACTGTGGCATCACACTTTCAGAGAAGATACTTGCAGCAGTGGATTTTGTGCTTTACAGCAATTTTCTGGAGGTTCTGACTGCAGGAAAAAATACATTGAATCACTAAATTTGGTTTATTCTGTTTTTCCTAATCATATTTCAGGTAGTCATGTTATCAGACTTCAAAATGCCTATCCCTTCCATCCTTCTTCCTTACTCCCTACTCAGTCTTCAGTTCAACTCTTCAGCAGTGGTTATAGTTGAACTAAGAAAATTAAGTATGTTGACTGCATTAGAGACTTTACTGGAAAAGAACATTTGAATTTTACTTATCATCTGCTCAGATTGGATATTTTCCGATTATTCCAGATTAAATAATAATTTTAGACTGATCAAAGATCTGTAGAAGGCTCATATGAATACTTTCTATAATGTTATCATTAACTTCTTAGGTAGATACGAGTTCATTTTATTTTATAAATCCAGAAAGAGAGCCTATAATCCATTTCTAAGAACCAGCAATTTATTTTCTAGGTCTAGTCTGAACTCTTCATGCTACAATTTTGAACCTGTTCGATCTTGTTCTATACTGTAGAGGTTAGATGATAGCTAGTCACCATATGTAATAGTGCTTATTCTTAAGACATAAGGAATTATTAAATTGCCTTTCTCCCTTCTCTTTTCCAAGTTGAGTTTCAGTGGTCCTTAAGGCTTGTGTATCTTATTTCAAATTTTTAATTACATATAACACTTGTCATTAAAGCCTCTCTGTGTTTTTCATGATTCTCTTTAATGGTGAATCCAGCACTGGTTGAGTATCGTCAATACAAGGAGAAAAGTCACTTCCTACACTCTGTACTATAAATATAAATTTTAGACATTTTAGTTTCATGCTTATTTCTCATTTTCAGTTTAGCAAATCAAAATGCATAGCAATTAAGGAAAAGAAAACTATATAATTTTTCTCCAGGACAAAAGTTAAAGCAGATAACTTGCAGATATTCTTTTGACTTCATATGCATTGATATTCAGATTCTGAGAAAATCTGAGAAAATACTCAGATTCAGAAAAAATATATCCCACTGACTAGAACCAAAACCAATAATTTTTTATATCTAACTTGTGGTCTTAGCATTGCCTCTAATTAATTGGATGGTAGAAGATAAGTCATTTTACTTCTTTTCATATCATTTTATTTATTTGTGAAACTGGGGAAGAAGGAACTCAAGATTAAGTGAACTCTAACTTGTCTTCCAGCCCAGAAATTGTATTATATATTGTACTACTACTAATAACAGCTGATAAATTGTGGCTTTTGGTGGGTAAGTACATTTGGAGCTAATGAGATTAATTTATTTGGAACACATGTATTGAGCACATATACTACCTACTATGTGCTGGGCACTGGCAGTACAGTGATAAATTAGAGATCTTTTAAAGCATTTACATTTTATTAGAGGAAAGACATATAAAATAAGAGCAATTGTATATTATGGGGGCTGTGGAAGAAGTCTGTCAAAGATGTTTCCAGGCACAGTGGAGAGTTTGGTGAGTTTTACTTGGCAGCAGGAGCATCAGGAAAGGGCCAGTGGTGAAAGGGACCGATTATGAAGGCCTGACAGAGCAGTGGCAGTGAAGTAGCGAGGCAACAGCTTGATTGTAGTGGCTAAAGCTGGAGGTTGAGGAAGTGGAAACAGTGGCTCCTTTTTCCCAAGGAGGTGGAATATTAACAGAAAATAACTGAGGGGAGGAGGCAAGGATTATAAGAGGTTGTTTTAAAAGTTGGAAGTGAAGAGCCAATGTAAAGATTTTGGGGCAAAGAGACTATAGAGATGGAAAGTTCGTCTGAATGGAGATGAAGAGAATGCAATTAAGGACAAATCGAAGAACAGGGTTGAGGATGGACAGAGGGGGGTAGATGGATAAATATGTGATAGCACAAATAGCAAAATGTTAATAATTGTGGCATATGGGAAGTAGATGAATGGGCATTCACAGTAAAATTCCTTCAACTTTTCTGCATGTTGAACATTTTGTAATACTGAGAAATAATTTTATAATGTGGGGGGAGAACATAGTTTGAGAGTTTAGCTTTGAACAGAACAAGGGGGCACTAATTCCTTGTTGTAGCAAGAAATTATGGGAGGTCAAGGTTAGAGCTTCAGCTTCATTTTTAAGTAAGTGTCACCCTTGCCTTCTGGAGCAGAGGGCCAGAACAATAGGAGCGTTGAGTATGAAAGATGGAATAACCATGGTAGCAAGTGGGAGAGGTGACCTAGCAGACGTGGGTAAGGGAAAAAGTGGTGATGGTCAGTTTCTGGTGAAATTGCCATGTTTGCGTTTTCCCCTGGTACTCATAGGAGACAGTAAGTTAGTAGGATCATAGAAGGGTCAATACCTTAAGAAAGCTAAAAAGTAGGATGAGTGGATGGGATGAGTGATTCCCTTTAATGTTCACCAGCAGTCTGTTCTGGAACAAGTCCCAGCCTCTCTGGTTCTCTGTTCAGGGAATAGTGTTTTCTACCTTGTTATCTTTTTCTTTGAATTATACGAGATAAAAACAATGGTTCAAAACTTATTATTAATATTTAACTAAGGTAATTTTGTTGTCTTCCTTAGGTAAAAGAAGAACGTCCAGAAAAAATACCAGATTTAAAATTATTAGTGGAGAAGAAATTTTTGGCTTTACAGAACAAGAATTCTGATTCAGACTTTCAAAATAATGAAAAATTTGTACAGTTTAAACAACAGCTGAAAGATCTGAAGAAGCAATGTAAGTCAACACGCTTTGCTTTGGTTTGGCTTTTTGAAATTAGAGAATTGAATTGATGAGTAATCCCAGAAAACTGATTTTATAAGAAATTTGCTTGTCTGCTTCGCTTGATCCTCTTTCTAAGTTGCTTTTTATTGTTGTTGCAATTCTGTATTTGCCTAACTTTTGGTTCAAATCAGCCTGTCCTTTTCTGAAAGCCAACAGTTTCCACAAAGTGCTAAGAAAATTCCCCAGCAGCTAGAAAAAGTTACACATATTGTTCCACTGCTCGGGAGGGGAATTAGGAAAACAAAATAAAACTGAAAACTATTTTATGAAAATAACAATGGTATTCTTCAAATTTTAAACTGCTGTGCCAGGCTTTAAAATCCATACTTTGATTCTAGTTTTGCTGCTTTGGAGTAGAATTAGCTGTGTTTTCTCAGAAGACTACATTTTCTTCTCAAATATGAACCAAAACCTTCTCGATTCAATTTTTCTTTGTGGTAGTATAAATTCTATGTGATTTTTAAATTTGTTGCCTTCTTAATAAGTTATTACATTCAGATTTTTAATGAACATAATTTTGGTTTAAAAATGAGAATGGGGAAAATAATTTATTTTATAAAAAATTTTTTGAATACATTGTTTGCCAGAAATAAGGTTATCTTTTCTACACAATAAAATATGTATGCCTGTTTTTCCATGTGCAATTCCAATAGCAATTTTATGTAAATTTATTTTTTTCACATTAGCATCTATTTAGTTCTGTAGTCTTTGTGTTTTTTTATTCCTGAAAGAATTCGATAGTGAAGCAAATAACTTTTTCTAATTTTAGTCTCCTATCATCTTCATTCACATACACATGGAGCAGAAATGTTATATATGAGATATAAATTTACTTCATGTGCTTGTATATATATACTTAGTGTAGGAATTCATATTTTGAAATAGTCTTTCATATATAAGCATTTTCTTTAAATTGATGCTGAGATCTCAAAAAATGACTGAGGAAGCTGCTTCACTTTTGTCTGCTTTACAAATGTTTCACAATTTGAAATGTTTTGCAATCATGATGAGACTTTTGCTTTTACTGTAGATTTCAATGGTAAGCATTTTTTCATATTTTAAGTCTATTTTTCTTCACTGAACATCACAACTACCAACATCTTTTTAATATACCCTGCACTATTCCCCTAAGTGGGTAATAATCTCCCAAATGGATAATAATTTGCTAGTGGCTTTCTGATCTTAAAGACGCTAGTGAATTTCAGTTTTGGTGTTGGTCAAAATAGCCAAATATATTTTACTAGTTGGAGCCAGTACTCACAAATTATGGTAGACTTAGCATTCAATCATAATTTCTGATTTTAAAGGTATTTTACAATACAGATTGAAGGAAAAACACCCAAAAATATAAATTTTTTCCTTTTTGGTTATTTTTTATAAAGTTATTATTTCATAAGAGAAATGATAAAGACTTTTAGAATCATATACTTACAGGTAAACAATTTTTAAGGAGAACATATAATTCAACAGGATGATAAATGGTGGACTCATGTTTATTGTTTCCTTAATTCTAAAAAAAAGAAAAGAACGAAAAGTTTCCCTAGGCCAGCAGTACACATCATTAGGAAAGACAGTTTAACCTTATGACAAAGTAAATTTATGTTGAAAGAAATGCTTCCTTACATAAGGTTTCCCTGCATATTGTAACACCGGAATTAAAATAACTTTCCCCTTTTTCCCTTTTAATTCCTCTAAAATAATCTTTTGAAAAGTTCTTAAATCTCAAATGCCTGAACAAGCAAATATTAATACTTTTTAAAAATGCTCTGTAAGATGTGTATACCTTACTTGCAAAATGTAATTTTTAGTGCAGTGTTCTTAGCACTGTCAGTTAAACTTGCACCATGTCTAGTGGATTGTATTTCTTTAAGATATAATCCTGCTGTGAAGGTCCTAATTAGGACTGGGCTCCCACAATATTTGTGTAGCCAGGTCAAAGGTACACTATGATTTATAAATGAGCCAATGAATCTCTTTTGAGATGTGTTCTGGAGGTAAGGAATTGGAATAATAATTTTTTGTTTTTAAAGATTGGAAAATAGAAGCCAGGGAGAGATACTTGCTTCTAGTTACCTATTTTGGCAAAATAAAAGCTGAAATGTTTTTATGGTCTGCATATATCTAAAGGGTTTTTTCATGAAAATAACCAACATAGTTTCACTAACTTTATTATGCAAGAACATAAATGCTTTGTATTAAATTTTTTCAAATTAGGATCTAATCAGAGAATTGCCAAGAAGCTCTTGGGTGGTAAGAGGTCAAGATGGAGATTGGAATAAGGTGGTCTGTCAGGTGGTTCTTACTCTGCTGAGGTAATTTAACCTAGTTATAGCTCAGCAATGCCTTCTCAAACTTTTAGTCTCATGCACTTGTTACATCCATAAAGTTTACTAAGAGCTCCTGGAGAGCTTTTATTTGCTTGGACTGTATCTATTGGCATTTATCATACTACAATAGAAATGAAAACTGAGCAATATCAAATATTAATCTATTGAAAAATAAAACCTATTACAAATTAATATAAACAGCATTTGATATGAACTATCACTATGTATTTTCTAAACATAAAGTAAAATTTTTGAGAAAAGTGGCATTGTTTTACACTTTTGCAAATCTCTTCAATTTGTGGCTTAATAGAAGGCAGCTAGATCCTTATACTGGCTTCTGCATTTGGTCTATTTGGTTGAAGTATGTAAAGCAAATCTGGTCTCATACATTGGTAATTGTACTTGCTGAAAGGATCTTGCAGACCGCCAGACTTCTCACTTTGGGAACCCCAGATCTAGGCCAGGGGTCGGTGAACTCCAGCCCATAGGCCAAATCCAACCTGCCTCCTGATTTTCTATGGCCATCAGGCCAAGAATGGTTTTTATATTTTTTAATTGTTAGGGAAAGAAATCAAAAGAGGAATAATGTTTTGTGACATGTGAAAATTACATGAAAATCCAATTTTAGTGTCTATAAATACTTTGATTGAAACACAGCCACATTTCATTTCTGTGGGTGCTTCCACACTGTCCCGGCAGAGTTGAGTAGGTGTATCGCAGATCATTTGGCATGCAAAACTTACTGTATTTACTGTCTGCCTCTTTACAGAAAAAGTTTACTGACCCCTTAAACTATATTCAGAAATAAGAACAGAGTTTTTTAAACTTTAGATTTTCCCCTAAATACTATCCATTTTATTGCCAGTCAATTGATAGAGTCTCTCTGGAGCAGTATGTTCAGAAAGATTCTGAAACTAGGTTCAGGCCCAGCAGGAAAGAGTGTGCTGAAAAATTACAGTGGGAAAGGAGAGGATAGTACAGATGTCTAGTATTTACCATCCTCAGCATACAGAGAAGACTAGCGATTGGGGAGGTATATGTGAGTTTTGAAACTTGGAAGGAGAGAGATGAAGAAGAGACAAAGATAATGTCAAGAGAGAAAATGTTTGGCTTTGCCTAGAAATATGTTAAGTGCATTTAGACTGGGCAAAATGTTGACCAGCCTGACTTCATCCTGATCCCCTTCAACCTCCAAATCTCTTACTTTGTCATAACATATTACTGTGTATTGCTGACCTGCAGTGAACTAAAGCCCAAGACCCTGTAAGACAGGACTAATTTCTTATTCATTCCTATGTTATTTTTGTTCCTCATGTATTAAGAGCTCAGTTAATATTTATAGAACAGAATTATTCAACTAAGGAGAGAAACTGCCTAGAAAAAGAAAGTCAGAATCTAGTTAAGGCAGTCTGATGATTAAAGTTCTTTTCTCTTTAATAATATATCATCAGTAAAGAAGAAGATAAGTAGAGAGAGAAAATTAGCATTTATAGGAATTTCGATTTAAAGTAATCACAAAAGGTTAAAAATTTATATTGTCTTTGAAAATCCCTTAAATTGCTCAAAAAGTCAATATACATAATTTTGTGTATCTAACCTTTTACAGTGTGTTGATAAAAATGTATAGCATATATAGTAATACGCAGTTTTTAATATCATAGAGTATGGCTCACTTTAAATGTGACTGCATAGAACATTTAAGTTAATTTATCAAAACTTAAGTTTGCTGGCTCTTTTATAGATGGTTTTATCATTTCTGTAGTTCTCAGTTGGTCTTCCTTTTTTCTTTGATGAAGTTGATGAAGCCACCACCATTCACTTGCTTAATGACCATTAATTATTGGGAAATGCTAAAAGTCATAAATTTCACAACTGAGATTGACTTTTTCAGGCTGAATTGCATCCCTGGCCTGTGGGCTTATTCTCATTGAGTGAAATTTCTGCCCTTTACAAATTTTTTATTCTTTGTGTATTTGCCTCTCTCTGCTTTCATCCTCTGAGTCAGTTCTTCCCAACTCTCTTTTCTGTGTGTCTCTTTCCTCCCCTCTGGTTTCTTTTTATCTCCCACCCTATATAATTTCTCTTTCCATAAATCTTACATCAATGCAACTGAATGGTATCATTCCCATCTTAATGATGAAACAGCCTCTGAGGTGTAAAGTGACCTGCCCAAGGTTACATAGCTAGTAACCAGTGGAACCAGAAGACAAAGATGCCAGGGAGAAAGAGAGAACATCGGAGACAGGTGTAGCTCTTATCTATCTTCTGCTTCATAAAGTTGTTACTGCCCAGGAATATTTATATGATAAAGCATATTTGGAATACCAAATAATTAAGGGGAAAAAAAGAAAAAAGATTAATCCAAATTAAAAGATTGGGCTGGGTGCAGTGGCTCATGCCTATAATCCCAGCACTTCGGGAGGCCCAGGCAGAAGGAGCACTTGAGGCTAGGAGTTCAAGACCATCCTGGGCAACATAGTGAGACCTCATCTCTATAAAAAATTAAAAATTAGCCAGGCGTGGTGATGTGCATTTGTAGTCCTAGCCACTTGGGATGCTGAGTTGGGAGGATTGCTTGAGCCCAGGAGTTCGAGGTTACGGTGAGTTATGATTGAACCATTGCTC